GCAGCAGCACAGCAGCTCGATAGTTATACTACCCAAACAAAATTTATTGATTTATGTACAACAATTTTAAAAAGCAACTTTTTGGACAACAACTTAACAACCTGCTTTACCGACAGCTGCAGCCGTCCCAAACGAAGCCTCAGAGAAGTTTTTCACTTTTTCTTCTCTAGCCTCTTGGGGAAGTTTCTCTTCTCTAGCCTCTCGGATTTTAGCTAGTTTTGCTTTTTTTTTCTTTTTTGGGTTTCATGGCGTCTAACTGGCTTCGTGACCCGAGTTTTTTGAATGGAGCCTCTCCAGCTCTTTCATTTAAAGATACCTTGTCTAGGGCTTCTTCTTCTTCGGTTCATATTCTTGATTTGCAGATTTCTTCTCATCGTCGGTTACCGACGTTGTTGATTTCGGAGGAGGAAATATCCTCGCTTGCTGTTCCGTTTGAATTTGCTTTGGTAGATAAATTTCCCGACAAGCGTCCTTCAATTGATGACATTCGAAAGTTTTTCTTCATTTTAAAACTCATTGGTGATTGCTCGGTCACTGTTCTTAACCATAGGAATGTTTTGCTTAAGCTTGTCAATAATTTTGATTACTGTAGAATCTTCTTCCACCGTTCTTATTTTGTGAATAACTGTTATATGAAAGTGGTTAAATGGTCCCCATATTTTAATGTCGAGGTTGACTCCCCGGTGGTGCCCATATGGATTTCGTTTCCCTTTCTTAGGCCCCATCTTTTCACGCTTCGGATTCTTGTTGTTTTGGGTTCTCTGTTTGGCCGAACTCTCAAATCGGACACTGCTAATGTTTATGGTTCCCATCCTTCGGTTGCTCGTATCTTGGTTGAATTTGATATCACCAAGAAATTCCCTGATAAAATTTGGGTGGGTTCTCCTAATTTCGTATATATCAGTCGGTGATTTTTGATGATATTCCCCATTTTTTATGCATTGTAGTTTCTTAGAACATTTGAAAGAGGGTTGCCATATTTTGCATCCTCAGCTTAATTTTGTAACTAAATCCGTTCTTTTTTCTTCTTCTGCTCCGTGTGCGTTGCATGGGGTGGATCTGGTTAATTCATGTCATGTTGTGCATGTGGCGGATGAATGTGATGGTGTTAATGCCCAGGTGGCTCCTATTTCATGTCCTGTTGTGCATGTGGCGGAGGAAAGTGTTGGTGTTAGTGCCCAGGTGACTCCTGCTTTAGGTAATACCTTAGCGAATGTTGTATCTGTGGTGCTTGTCTATTGGTTTTGGTCTTTGAGGGCACGACTGTTGACAATTTGTTGCCTTCCCTACCTGTCAGGCTGTCACAACCTTTCGGGTGGGAAGTGAGGTGTATTTGAGGGATTCTATTTCTCCTTTGGTTCCTGATCTTTCTGGTCCTCCAATTGGTGAGGCTCGAGATAAAAATTGTGGTATTAATCTTAAGGCTAGCTTCTCTTGTGTGGATCCTGTGCCAAGCCCGATAGATTTATCTAGAGATGTTAATTTCAGGGTTTTGCCTGCTGACCCTGTGTTGGCTAATTATGGCGTCTCTACAATTAATTCTTTGGTCCGCACGAATGTGGTTTCTCCTGTTAACAATGGTAGTTAGGGATGTTCTGAATGCGAAGAAGTTGTGCCTATCAAGCTTCTTGACCTTAGTCGTTCTAATAGTGGTATTAGGCGTAGAAATAAAGGTAAAAAGAAATAGACTATGGTTCTTTCATATTTGCTCTTCGACGTTGTTTTCTGAAGGCTCTGTGGACAATGATGAGGAAGCTCGCAGCTTCCCCTTGTTGGCTCAGCTGGTTGGTAACCGAGGTGATTTGGACCTTGACTTGGATTGCTTGGGTGCTTGGATTTTGTGCGGTTGTCACCTTTGGATGGTCCGTGGTTGGGCGAAAGATTGGTGCAAGGGACTTCCATTCCTGAGTCCGATTATTATTCTTGTCAATCTCATTGTATTGCCTTGTCCAG